ATGATTAAAGTCTCCCATGAGAACCAGGGCCTGCAATCTGGTAACTTCTGCTAGTTGCCGGAAGAAAGCCTCGTCCACCTCCTCCCCCTGATCTGGTGGTCTATAGCAGACTCCCACCACGACATCACCCTTGTTGCTCACACTTCTAAACTTAATCCAGAGACTCTCAGGTTTTTCTGCAGTTTCATACCGAAGCTCTGAGCAGTCATACTCCTCTCTTACATACAACGCAACTCCCCCACCTTTTCTGCCCTGCCTGTCCTTCCTGAACAGTTTATATCCATCCATGACAGTACTCCAGTCATGTGAGTTATCCCACCAAGTCTCTGTTATTCCAATGACATCATAGTTCCTTGACTGTGCCAGGACTTCCAGTTCTCCATGCTTGTTTCCCAGGCTTCTTGTATTTGTGTATAGGCACTTAAGATAACTCGCTGATCGTCCTGCTTTCTCAGTCTGACACGGGAGTCCGCCCCTCTTGCTCTCTCCTGCTCGTGCTTCCTCCTGGTATCCCATTTCCCCACTTACCTCAGGGCTTTGGTCTCCTTCCCCTGGTGAACCTAGTTTAAAGCCCTCCTCACTAGGTTAGCCAGCCTGCTTGGGAAGATATTCTTCCCTCTCTTCGTTAGGTGGAGCCTGTCTCTGCCTAGCACTCCTCCTTCTTGGAACACCATCCCATGGTCGAAGAATCCAAAGCCTTCTCTTCGACACCACCTGCGTAGCCATTTGTTGACTTCCACAATTCAACGGTCTCTGCCCAGGCCTTCAGACTAACTGTCTCAATAACAGGCTCCTTGGGGATCCCTACTCATATTCCTTCTTGAGACCTCCATGGAAAAACCAGACCTATCTGGCCCGTGTGGATCCTATGCACAGAGAGGGCCAGAGCTTCTGGGAAGCCCATCAGTAAACCCCAAGCCAATACATTTCTAGAGAGACCTATAAAGGGCCCATGTGGAAGAGGGGAAATGACTAAGCCCAGCCTCTTCAAGGACAGGGAGATTGATAAACACAGGAACTATTTCTGGAGCAATCTCTGAGCCCAGTTTTGCTCCCCCCTCAGAAACAGGCTCATGGGGACAAGCTTCTAAAGGGGAAATAAATGAATACTAAAATCAACGCTTGGTCCACCTGCTCACCTTCATGAAGTGCAGCATGGCAGGTCAGCACAGCAAATATCAGACCATGAACGTGTGCTGATTTCTCTAGGCATGAATATTCCCCAACCCCCCCAAAAAGGGAGGAGTTATTTCTTTTTAGGGAGGAAGGCTAACAGCCCAAATCAGAGAGAGGGAATCAAATAGTCAAAAACCAGCCAAACAAAGAAAACATTAGAGGATAGATTCTCTCAAGTAAAAGTGTACTGAGTATTGTGAAACTAGGTTTAGGAGCTGCCCTAGATAAGCTATAACTTTATATCCTCCTTCATGCACCCTGGGAGAGTGTAATAGAGGGAAAGGGATTTCCTGCCACACCAGAAAGATTGGTAAAGTATCAGGCTGTTATCCCAAGCTGCAACTTTGGCTCACCATGTGCCATACAATGCATATGTGGTAGAGAGAGTGGAGGTATGTGTAGGACAAGCGAACAAACAGGAAATGGATGCTGGCATCTTTTGTGGATTAGAGAGGGAGGAACTATGTGTTTAAGATACAAGATCAGATACGTTGGGAACAGCTAAATTGGGATGGGCCTTGAAGGGAAGGACCAGAAGTTGGATTTTGACACAGTGGAGAAAAGGAAGCCAGTGGAGGGATGTAAAGAAGGGGTTATAACTTGATTAAATGACAGGTTAGTCTTAGTAGCAGCATTTTGGTTGGGCTTGTTTGTGTGACATGGGTGTCAGGTACGCCAGAGAGAAGAGGTCAAGACATGAAATAAGGACTTGAATGGTAGTTTTAGTTGTATGGGCAAAGAGAATAGACTGTTTCTTGGAAATGTTATGGCAACAGAAATAGCACAGTTTAGATACGGACAGGATGTATGGGTCTAAAGAGAGAGAGTGAAGTCAAAGCTGCCCATGTTATGAGTTTGAGTGGGAGGATAGTCGTAATATCAATAGCAAGAAAGGGAGTTCATTTTTTTGCCATGTTGAGTTTAAGATGATTGCCGGACTTACACAAGGAGATATTGAAGAGACTGGCCTAAGATTAGGGATTTGGATAGGGAGTGACAGGTCAGGGGTACAGAGATAAATTTGAGTCATCAGCATGAAGACAGTAGTTGAAGCCACGTCAGCATATAAGATCCCATGGAAAGTGGGTGTAGATGGAGGAGGAGGGAGTCTGAGGGACCCCCACTGATAAAGGGAAATGGGTGGAGGAGGGAGACTCCAAATGAGACACAAGAAATGAACAGAGAGGTAGGAGGATAATTAGGAGCAGATGGGATTGTACAAACTAAGGGAGGACAGGATTTTGAACAGTTAGGGAATGGTCAGTGGTGTTCAGAGCAGCTAAGAGATTAAAAAGGATGGAATAGAGGTCCTGAGATTTGGTTAGGAAGAAATCACTGGAAGCTTCAGTAAGAACAGTTTCAGAGGAGTGGAGAGGGCAGAAGCCAAGTTGAAGATGAAGTGGAGGAGAGGAGCTTTGGTATAATGGTTATAGGTGGCATGGTTAGGAGGTGAAGAGAATAAGAGGAGATAGGGCAATAGTTGAGAGGGTAGGAGGAGGTAAAGCGTTGGACCAATGTCCCACCCAAAGGAGGACCACTTTTTATGAAAGTAGGAAGACCAAGTTTACCCTAGTAGCACTGTTGTGGCAACTGACAATTTTAACAGTTTTCTGTAATGTAAACCGAGCTTCAGGACCATCTTTAAACACTTGATAGTAGGGTGATGGGGACCATATAACTAGATTTATGGATCTTGTCCTTTCCCCTCAGCCAATGCAGAATTGTTATGGCAGTATATTTTAGAGTACTGTGTCCACTTTCCTTAGGAGAATATTCCCTGATCGAATAGACTTCGCAGATAGGAAATGTTTCCTTTGTAATCAGCCTGCTCACCTCTTACTTCCTTTCTGGTTGTTGATGGTGGCTGAGACCCTTCTGGGAGAGAAGGGGTTTTGTAAAAGTCTGTCCTAATAAAGGTCCAGCTAGTGTTAATGGTGGGGAATGATGGCCTCCTGGAGAGGGGAGCAGGTTGCTGGGACCTAGTGTCCCTAGAACAGTTCCCTCACCTGGGCTGAAGAGGAAAGAGAAGAAAGCACATGTTAAAACCCAGATTAGTAAATCCAGTTTGAATATAAACATAGTTCAGATTCAGACAGGGAACCACATTCTTGACTAACTTGCTCAGTGTTTTCTGAAGATGTTACTCCCTTGTCTGCTTATATCTTGATCTTAATTCCAGTGGTCTGGAAGTTGAAATTGGACAAATTCAGACTGGAAATAATTATCATCACTGTTAAAAAATTGCATCTTAACCACTGGAATAGCTTTCGAAGGGTCGTGGTGGATTCTCCATTACTGGCCACTTTTAAATCAAGAGTGGATGTTTTTCTAAAAGATCTGCTCTAGTTTAAACAGGAATTAATTCACGGAAGTTCTCTGGCCAGTTATGCAGGAGGGCAGGCTAGATGCTCACAGTGGTCCCTTTTGGCCTTACAACCTGTTCATCTATGGGCACAATATGCTAGGTGGTATTGGCACAGGTATCCTTCGTGGTTGAGGTCAGATCACAAAAAATACTAGGCCCATTGCTTGAGACTTTAGACTTAATTAAGGTGTTTGACTTGGTACTGCATGAAATTTTGATTCAAAACCCCTGTAGATGGTATAAAATTAAAATAGGACACATTAAATGGATTAAAATCTGGATAATTGATAGGTCTCAAAATGTAATTGTAAACTACCAGTCATCATCGAAAAGGTATGTTTCTAATGGGGTGCTAGAGGGATTGGTTCTGGTGTCCACAATTCAAGAATGTTGATAAATTGGAGAGGGTTCAGAGAAGAGCCATGAGAATGACTGAAGGACTCAGAAACATGCCTTATAGTAATAGATTCAAAGCTCTGAATCTATCTAGCTTAACTTAGAGAAGGTTATGCGGTGACTTGATTACCTACATGGGGAACAAATATTTAATAGTGAGCTCTTCAGTCTAGCATATAAAGGTCTAACACTATCCAATGGCTGGAAGTTGAAGTTAGACAAATTCAGATTGGAGTGTAAATAAGATGTACATTTTTAGCAGTGAAAGTAATTACCCATTGGAACAGTTCACCAATGGTCGTGGTGGATTCTCCAACACTGACAGTTTTAAAATCGAGATTGGATATTTTTTATGTAAAATATCTGCTCTGTGAATTATTGTGGGGAAGTTTATGGTCTGTGTATACAGGAGGTTAGTTTAGATTAGATTATCACAAAGGTTCCTTTTGGTTTTGGAATCTATTAATCTATTATATATATAAAACTAGAGATTTAAAACAAGACACATTGCAAGAAAAAAATATGCATTGGCCAGGAAATGGATCTGATGACCTATTAGGTTATTCATCTCTCTTTTCTGAGATTCCATAATATTTATTTGTGTTAAGAAACATAGTGAATCCATCTCAGTTGGCTTCAACTCCCATTACATTTACTGACTTGGTCTGGCAGTTGTTGCAGGGACAATACGTAGCAAAGATTTGATGTTTATTTGGTCAGTGCAAATTAACATACAACAATTTCTAGCCCTGAGGAAGTAGAGTATAGTGCTTATGTCTTGTAGACTGTGAAATAGAGGGAGACTAATTTTCCTAACTGTATGTATCCGATGCTAAGCAGTGCTTGCCGTAAGTAGTAACTGACCGAGTTATGTGATCTCAAACCAGGGACTCTTTCCTTTCTCCTCAGTGGCTTAATGAAGCAAAAGTAATTCAGAGACTTGTGGAGCTGATCCATTCGAGCCAGGATGAGGATGTGAGTGTGACATCATTTATTTTTTGTCTGATTTTGTAAACTGAATAAGAGGTCTAGAAGCACGGGCACTTGAGAGTACTCTTTCTCTAACTCTTGGAAGAATGCCCATCTTGCTAATGGGAAGAGAATAGTAATGGAGAGTATGTGTGGCAGTGCTGTCCTTCGTTTGAGTACTGAGCCTGACATCAACTAAAGGGGTTTTCTCTAGTCATTTGAGTACCAGTTTCCTGATTATTCTAAGCCAAACTCTGTATGATATGAATTTAGATGAAATCCTTACGATCGATGATGATTCAATGAGGTTTATTGAAAACATGCTACTTGGAGTATGCTATTGAAAGACTTTGACAACTGGCTAGCAGTGGTCTTTAGCTAATTTTTTAAGCCAAAAACAATGTTTTTGTTTTAATATCCTACTAAAATCTATAAGATGCACTTATTTGAGCCTGTGCAAGAAATGTGCCAAGTATTAGATTATACAGATAAAAAAGGACAGCTCAAATTATTTTTTTTCCAGCCATTTTCACCTAACATATAATCTTGGTTTTGGAGTTTAGCCCATTACATGAATCCATCACATCTGGGTATCCTGATTGCAGTCACTGGTGCTGAAAGGTTAAGACCAGAAAACATTAGGGTAATTTTCCATTTCTGTTTTAGCTAGGTGTATTTGATCTGGTTGTTCACCACCAACACATCACCACAATTGTCAGCAGCAAAATGAATTCAGTGGTTGTATAATGATTTTCTTGTTATGCTGTTTGTGCTTTTACTGGAAGGGTCAAATTCTGATGTCATCACATTTGAAGTTACCCCTTTGTGAAAGTACATGGGAAACAGATAGTTTGTGAACTTAGGTATCTTCAGCAATCTTATTGAATAGGTGAAGGTTACAGTACCAAGATGGCCATGGAGAGTGTCTAAACAAATGGCTTGGATACCTATTATGGTATCCAAGATACCAGATACCTATTATGACAGACAATAAAAAAAAATACAGCAACTAAAGGTTTGTAACACAAACCAGTGGCATTTAAGGAATTTTGTCAAAGAACTCTTTTGTGTGTTTCATATTTTTAAGGAAGTAAGAAATATTACTGAGTAGAGATAAGCAAAGATGAAACCTCTGCAGTAACAGTCTTGCCCTAAAAAGGAAAGAAGAAAAACCTCATTTTTAAATTTTAGTTTATTTTAACTTATGATTTAAAGAATCTAAAATCTTTCTGTTAATTATGTTGCTGATATGAATGATGCTATGAAGATATAAGCTTGGATTGAAAGCTAGTTAATTAAGGCAGAATATATCTGATCTTCCATGTTATCTTGGAGTACTGCTGGCTTTCATGGATTTCTGGCTGCTGTTCTCTCTTCTGTCCCAACTGCATTACATTTCCTCTGAAGATCACGATGAACCCAGCTGTGTAGTTAGTACTTAAATGTGACCTTTGACATTGTTTACAGAGGCAATCAAATGCTTCCCAGACCTTGTGTGATATCATAAGACTGAGCAGAGACCAGGGCAACCAGCTACAGGAGATATCGGAGCCTGACCCGCTTCTCACAGCACTGGAATCGTAAGTACATGTCAGAAGAGTATTACTAAACTAAAATGACTTGCTGGCACTGTTATTTCCTGACATGGCATGAACTGTGCAGTAAATAATCTCAGACCTTTGCCACACTCCTCACAATGGTTCTAACTAATGATATTTATTGTTGCTACATTATGAGAACACCCAAAGGCCCCAGTCAAGCCTTACTGTACTTTTGCATTGTACAAAGACACAGGAAAACTTGGTCTCTGCCCTGAAAAGCCTACGCTGATAAAAAAGACACCACCGTTGAGAGTGACAAACAGAAGGGAACTGAGAAGAAGGTCATGGTAATAATGTTCTCACCATAGTATCTGACAACTTCATAGACATGAATTTATTTACACAACTCCCCTATGAGATTGAGGGGTGGTATCCCCAGTTTACAGCTGGGGATCTGAGGCTCAGACAGTTTAAAGCCAAAACTCTCCATTAATTTTGTGTGTCAAACTTGAGACGTCTAGGGCTTGATTCTCAAGTGTACGTAGCATGTCTCTAGCATGCTGTATGTTCCAAGCACAGCTGCAATCAACACTTCTAGAGATCTGGCCCAAGGTGTCTCATGAGGCACCCTGAAAGTGAGAAAAACACAGTTAGTGGCCACCTGTGAACATTTCAGTTTGTGACTTGTCCAGTGTTGCATAGAAACTCTGTGGTAGAGGTTGGGATAGAATTCAGTTCTCCAGGGTGGCATTCAGTTGCCTTATCTATGAGACCATCCTGTCTCTTCTTGCAATCCTCTGCATCATTCTGTACACACCTTCCAATTTCTGTGACAAATGAGGTAGGGGTCCTCAGGGCCGGCTCCAGGCACCAGCCCACCAAGCTTGTGCTTAGGGCGGCACCTGGAGGGGGGTGGTGTGGTGCAGCGCTCCAGCTCCGGCCACCGGGGAGAGTGGGGCCGCGACTGGGCTCGCTGCCCTTCCCGCGGTGCTGCGACTGGGCTCGCCGCCGGGGAGAGCGGAGCCCCGGCCGGGGCTCACCGCCCTCTCCCCCGGCGCCCTCCCCTGCCGCACTGGCAAAAAAAACAGAGCCGACCCTGGGGGTCCTACAGACAATAGCCTCCTTCACTACACAACCATTCCCAGAGCACAGTCCATGCTGTGCACTGAACTAGGAAGGGGCCCCATAGAAAAATATAAGCCCAGAGGGGCCAAATTGAGGTTGCACAGGCAACCTGAATTCTGGCATTTCCTCTGGATGCTTGATTTTGCAACCTTAATACTGTTCTTTTAACATAAGTGATTTGTGTGTAATTTCCTAATTAATTGTATCAAACATTCTAAAAATATTCACTTCAGTTTTGAGACTAAGCATGAGATTTTTTTTTTAGGCCAAAAGGAATTATTTTGTCAAGAAGGGGGTGGGGGAATCAAAAATAGGGTTGCACTGAATGGAGCCATCTTTAAGTAGTGAAATGAAAAACAGGAGAGCTTAGGGCTTGAAAATTCTACTCATTCACTTGTCTCGTCAAGTGTAGGTAGCTTTCTTGGTGTGTGGAAGGATGCAGGTAATTTTGCAGAATCTAAGCTTTCAGTTTATACAGGAAAAAAAATAATTGAGAGCCTCTGTGCATTCCCACAAGGGATATGGTGCTCCAGTTGCTTAGCTGCAGAACTGCCTTGGTAAGCCAGGTCTTTTAGGAGGCACATGATAGATCTTGCATGAGGTTGATGTTAGCACCCTAGTCCATATAAGGGAATCCATAACTTTAACTGCTTCAGTTCCTTTGCTGCTGCTGCAGGGAGCAAACTGAACTTTCCCTCATGCCCTCAGACTAGATCTTCTCTTAGCCTAGCTTAATGCTTTCTTGTCAATAGTTAGTTTAGAGCATTATACGACAGCTCCATTTATATAGCTTCCCTCATCCTGAGGGTCTTCAGTTCCTTGCCAGGACTGTGTTGGACTCTGAGTCTTGTATGAGCTTCAAGAGATGTGCCCTCTTGCCTGATGATTGTACCAGAAATGGACACCTATTTCTGGTGTTCTCTATGTCTGGGCGAGACCCACTTGGTAACCCAGTGCATGGTTTGCTGTGTATTCACTGCCTGTGCTGGAAGGGATTGATGCCTGAGGTTCCAGGCTATAAATGCCTTCAGCCTGATATTCAGAGAGGCCCATCAAGGGCACCAAGACCAGCCTTCATGCCAAGGTACATTTTTCTGCTCTGGCTTCATCTCTGTGCTTTATCACAGGCTTGAGATCTGAATCTTTTTTGCCCACTACTGGGAGCAAATCCTTTACCTACCACCATCTGACTCCACTGGTGCCAGTTTAATCTTAATAGGTGGTGTCAGTACCTATTTAGGCCTCAGTAGCCTTTAGTGATGATATAGGAAGCACCGACCTTGGTGTCCGCTCCTTACTCGCACTTTTGCTCTTGGAACTGACTCTGGACTTGTCTTCCGATGCTGATGCCTCTGTTTTGGAACCAAAAGTCCACATGGATGCTCCTCCAGGTAAAAGGAAGGAGAAGAGGAAGCACATCTTCCCACAAGAGGGGCTCAAGCAGAAGAAAAAAGGAAGTGCCATCTCTCTCCTCCTTTGTGCTTTCTGACCTATGAGTTCTTTGAAGAGGCTCAAATGGCACTGCTGTCCCCTCTTCTCTATGCGGGATGTCTCTGGACTGACTAATTTAGACTCCTTGTTATTTTGGATCCAAAACTTTTATTCTCCCTTTGCCCAAGGGGCATCCACTATTGAAGCTACTAGCCACCTGTCTGCATGCTTTTCCGTTGCTTCGCTTGGTACCTGGATAGACTTTCTCTGGTCTCAAACCAGAACCACCTCAGAATAGCTTCATCCCCTTCAGAAATTAAGCTGGAGGGTCCCCGACTTCGAGATTCCAGTCTTCTTCCCTCATCTCAAATCCAGGCATCATGCAAGGCCCTCTTCAGCTCCTTATGTGGCCCTTATACAGGACTCCATGAAAGCCCTGCTGGAGACTGTGAGAACAATTGCAACACTAACCTCCCTCCTGATCCTGATACCTCTTCTGGCACCATTGCCTCCCTCAGCACCGATCCCCCTCATCAATGCCTATTCCTCACTCAGCACCAACATAAACTTCCTTGCCAGCACCAATGCCTGCACCAGACGCCTCTCATCTGCAGAAAGGGTCTGCCTATTTTTGAGGAATGGAATGAGACTCCCTCAGAAAGACCATACAAATCCCCTTTGGAGGAACATTTAGATGGCACCTCAGCAGAATATTATATTAGTGCTTCATCTGTTTTTTCTCCTGACTAACAGATAGTTTCACGCAAAGTCCACTTATCTTTATATAGAAGCTGTCAATCTCTGGAATTGATGCATCTGTCACCAGGACACTCGCTCAGCAGTGCACCTTCTGGGGGTGCAGAGCATTCTCTCAGACTGCTTCAGTAGGCATTTCTCTAGAGACCATGAGTGGGAACTGCATGACTCGGTACTGCAGAGCATCTTTCAATAATGGAGATTCTTGTTTGGGGATCTCTTTGTATCTCAAGAGAACAGCCTACTGTTCCTGAGTGGCCAGAGGAGATGCATTTCTAGTACAGCGTTCGGAACCCCCGATGTACTCATTCCCATCCTTTCCCTTTTGCCCTGAGTCCTGAGAGAGTGCAAACAAGACCAAGTGTCGGTGATCCTAGTGGCTATTCAGGTTCACCAGCTTTCTCTAGATGTCCTCACACTTTGACCCAGGACAAGGGCAAGATCCTCTGTCCCAATCCAACATCTCTCCAGTTAGCAGCTTTGTATTTGGATGGACACTGAGCTTAGAAAGGGTTTGCTCAGTGGCCATCCCATTCATCATTAGCAATAGCAGAAAAGACTCCAGGAGAAAATGAAATGGAAAACATTCTGTACCTGGTGCCAGCATCGCTGGATATCCCCCGAAAGTTCCCAAATCCCTTCTTATTCTGACTATCTCCCATCTCTAAATATTTCAGAGCTGTCCCTCAGCACCATGCAAGTACACTTGGTAGCTATTAGTGTTTTTCACTCTCCAGTGGACAATCATTCAGTCTTTGCCCATCTGACTACAGTAAGATTTCAGAAGGGGCTTGTCACAATCTTTCTTCAGTGCTCAAATATGGGACCTCACTTCAGTCCTTTCAGCATGAACAAATCTCCCATTCAAGCCTTTAGCTTCATGTATCTTCACTCATCTGTGAAGAAGGTTGCCTTTCTGGCTGCAGTGATTGCAAGCAGAAAAGCAGGTGAGCTGGGGCTCTTATGGCGGACCTTCCCTATATGGTCTTCCATGAGGATAAAATTTCGTTGAGGTTACATCCAAAATCGATTCCTAAAGTAATCTTGGAATTCCATCTGAGCCAGGTCGTCCATCTACCTATCTTCTATTCAAAACCCTACGCCTCCAGAGAATACAGGAAGCTCCACTCTTTGGATGTCCTTCGAGCATTGACATTCTGCCCGCAGAGGACAAAACCCTTCAGGAAATCTCCCAAACTATTTGTATCTTTCACCAACCTATGAGAAGGGGAATCTCAGACTGCATCCTGGTTTGTTATGAGTTAACGGTGACCGCTCCCACAAGGTGTTAGAGCCCACTTGATCAGAATCCATGCTGCATCAGTAGCTTCCTTCTGTGATGTCCCCCTTTCTGGAGATCTGTGGCGCAGCCACATATGGCTCTGTGCATAACCTTTGTGAGACAGTACACCATGATACAAGATTCTACAACAGATACATCCTTTGGGAGAATGGTCATCTATTCGGTGGTACAGCAAGGCCCCTTGCACCCTCCTCCTCCTCCTCCTCCGTGAATACTGCTTGTGAGTCATCGCAAGTGGAATACACACAGGGACCATCACTTGAAGAAGCAAAAGAGATAACTGGAGTTCTTCCAGATGTGTACATAGTTGTAGTCCACTATCCACCTTCCTCCTCTGCTCTGGATCCTTATTGTAAAGTTATTTGGGATAGAGAAGGAACTGGAGAGGTGATTGGTCCTCAGTGGTCCTTTATACCCCGGGTTTGGAGCATGAGGAGAAGGGTGCAGGCCTGGACAACGGACACACTGCTAGTGAAAAAACTTCCTGTTTCAGGTGCACGGTGCACATGTGCACTGCGAATGGAATACACAGGGGATACCACACATCTCGGAGAGCTCCAGTGACTGTTCAGGGTAAATAACCTCTCTTTGTGAAAACCTGTGGAAGCAGTGAGAGTTAGGGATTAATGACTGAAGTGCATAGACTTGGAAAGCATTGTTTGTAGCCCCACCTATGACTTTGCAAAGTGGGAAAGCTCCTTTGTACTGGTTTTTGGAGGAATGTTCAAAACATATTTGTAGAAGCCACTTTGGAAAAAGAGATTTGGACACAGATGTGGAAATAGAGATTGCATTCAAATCATTATGGATGAGTGAGAGAGTGCACAGTGCCAACCAAAACCTTGTCTTGATGCTGTCTTTTGTTTATTGTACACATTAGACTACAGTGACACGAAATGGGCAATCAAGGATTGCCTGTTTGCCACACATTAGGCAGTAGAGGTACTACCTGCCTATATTTGTGCTGGTCAGTCCCTAAGCCTGAGTTGGAGAGTCACATCTGTGTATTTATATTTTTTAAAGCCAGAGGTGACTCTTATGAAATCTAGCCTGACCTACAAAACAAAACAGGCCACCAGCTTTCCCCCATTGATTTGTGCATGTAGCCCAATAACCTGTGGTGGTGCTAGGGCATATTGCTTAGGAATACATTAAATCTTTACTTAAAGGCACCCCAAGGTGTAGATTTTACCACTTTTCTTGGTGGTAATTTGTTCCAGTAGACAATTACCACCACTGTTGAAAATTTGCATCTTATTTACAGTTTGAGTCCTACTGACTTCAGTTTCCAGTCATTTGATCTTATGCCTTTGGCAGATAGATTAAAGTCCAGTAGCATTTGATATCTTCTCCATGGGATCTGTACAGGTACTTATAGACTTGTGATCAAGTTACCTTTTAACCTTCTCTTTGATAAGTTAAATAGATTGAGTGCACTGCATTGGCCAGCTAGCAGCTCATAATGTAGAGGCATTCCTCTGCTCATGGGAGATAGAGCCACTTTTTGGTCGGTGGTGTAATCAGGTACATGCCGAAACCATAGATAAACAGACTCCTAGACCTGACATAGGTCCATCCCTGGCATATCTGCCACTGAGAGGGGAGTTCCCCTCATCCGTCTTCCAAAGAATTGCTGTTTCTTTATTTCAGAAAGGGAGTGAGTAGTTTTAAAATTAAAACAATTAATACTGCAAACTATTTGTATATCTAATGCCTTTCTTTAACTCCTGTGTGTCATTTAACAGGCAAGAATGCGTGGAGCAGCTTTTGAAAAACATGTTTGATGGAGACCAGACTGAAAACTGCATAGTGAATGGAACTCAGATTTTATTAACGTTATTGGAGACAAGGCGCTCTGGGTAGGTTTACTCCCCTCAGCAAGGAAATGTTACAGCTCAAAATCTAGTTTGACTTTGTTCAAAAAATAAGTACCTGGCATACTTTCAGGGGCTGCCTAAAATAAATACAAGAAAAGCTGTTTTTAAATGCAATAGTTGTGCTTCCAGGTAGCATCTCAGGGTTGTAACCGCATTGTGATAGGGGCAAACACATAGGAAAGCACATCTTTACACCAGAGAACTTACAATCTAAATAAAAACAGAAGGTGGGAGAAAGAGGTACAACATAAACATGGTCATGATGGGAACGTGGCTTTTTAGTTCCAATTCTTCATTTTTAATTTTTTTTTTTTATTTCTATGTTTGTGGGGACAAATGAGGGAGAATGGCAGGAGGGGGAAGAAAAAACAGGAGTAAGGGAGTGGGGAAAAGGAAGACATGGAAGAGAGGCACCAAGGGGGAAGTAGGGAGAATAAGAAAGAAGAACAAAAGGAAGAATGGAGGGGAGCATGGAGGGCTGGTAGTGGGGGAAGAAGGGCAGGGGAAGAAGGGCAGGGGACAAGACTTGGGCAAACAATCAACCAGCAAACAGAAAATAATATTCAAAGCTGAAATTGTAAAAATTGGAATGTGGACACCAAAGAGCCTGGGGCTGTGATAATCTGAAATGGCAGGGCTCAAAGGTTCCTGGCTGGGTCTCTCCCATCTGTTGCATACAGTAGGCAGAAGAATAATTTCTTCAGACATCTGGACTGGGAGAATGCTATAACTAAGGGGAGGCACACTTCACTGTCTCATTGCATACACCTAGGAACTCCTAGCATCCCTCCACAATCTCCCTGCGTGCCTCCAACCTACCTCTATCCCCCATGCCAGGGGCTCTTTGCATCCTCATACCCCTCTCCCCCCATACAAGAGTCACTCATTCCCCTCATGTCACGGCCTCCGGCACACCCCTGTTCCCCCATACTCGGGTCATCCATTCTCCCCCATGTCAGGGACTTTGTGTGTGTCTCTTCCCCAAATGCCTTTCCATTTCCCTTCCTTCCTCTCTGTCTCCTTCAGTCTGTCAGAGAGGGGTATTTGGCATATGCTGGCATATGCTAATTTCTGCCGTCAGCAAGTTCTTTGATCTGTAGAAAAATTAAAAGTGATTGAAACTGTGGCTGGGATAACCAGATGCCTTGGGCTCCGTGCCCCAATTTGCCCCTTTTGTTTTTCTGTTTTTTACCATAATCAATAGGGCTCTGATCATTCCCTGACAGTTTGATCGGATGAGGTGTTCAAAACTTATCATGTTACATCCAGACAGAAAATGCCACCAAGCTGAGTGCAGGGACCTCACAAGGTCGGCCAATAACTCTCCAAACAATAAATGGGGACTGGAATCCTAGAAATGTAGAGCTGGAAGGAACCTCAAGAGGTGATCCTATGTAGCCCTCTGTGCTGAGGCAGGACCAAGTAAACCTAGACCAGGGGTCTCAAACATGCGGATGTGGCCCCAGAGTTATTTGCTGCAGTCTGCCAAGCTCCCCGCCCCACCGGAGTTATTTGCTGTGGCCTGCCAAGCTCTCCTCACCCGCTGCCCCCTCTTTCCCCCCAGCGCGCTGCGTCCCCGCTCCTCTGCCTACTTTCAGGCACTTCCTGCCACCAAACAGCTGTTTGGCAGCGCTTAGAACTTTCCAGGATGGAGGCGGGAGGAGCGGGGAGCCATGCGCTTGGGGGAGGAGGCGGAGAAGAGGCAGGGCAGGGATTTGGGGAAGGGGTTGGAATAGGGGCAGGGAAAGGGTGGGAAGAGGCGGGGCCTTGGCGGGCCTCATGGAAGGGGTGGAGTGGGGGCGGGGGCAGAGTTGGGGGGCTTTTGTATCTTTATATGAAAAGGTATCATTTTTGTTGCTCTCCTTTGGACTGTTTCCAGTTTATCCACCTCTTTCCCAAAAGTGTGGTGCCCAGAATTGGACACTACTTCAGCTGAGGCCTCACCAGTTCTGAGTAGAGCAGGACAATTACCTCCTTTGTCTTACATGCAACACTCCAGTTAATACACCCCAGAATGATAATGGCCTTTTTCACAACTACATCACTTTGTTGACTTGACTCCGTTTGTGATAGACTAGAACCCCAGATCCTTTTCAGCAGAACTGCTCGTCTACCGGAAACTCCTTCCTGTTTGCTCAGAACAGACGGAAGGAAGTGTAGGTTTGCAAGGCCATCAGGAGGCTTGCGAAGCAAGAATTATTTTGTGGTTACGGCACTGGCAGTGACTCGACATCTGGATTCAGTTTCCACCTCTGCCACAGATAGCTTGTGGGGGCTCAGGGAAAATCACTTAATTTCTCTGTGGCTCATTTCTTCATCTGTAAAAGGAAGATAATGCTTCCCTGCCTCTCAAGGGTTTGTAATGTTTGTTGTGCATTCAAAAATACTCAAGTGATTGGGGCTATATCAGCTAGTGTATTTGCATTATTCTTGCTAAACATGTCTTGAAGTTTTGTTATAGCGTTTAACAGTTGTGTACAAGATTAACACTTCCAGATACATCTTTAATGCTTAAATATTTCAGAAATGTTAAACACAAGGACATATTTTAATTCTTTTTCCTTGCTGTCCTTGGTATGATGAGTAAACAGTAATTTACTCTGTCATCTCATTCTGCTTCATGGATTTGTATTTACATAGTATTTTAAACTTCAGCCAGCAGTAAACAGTTTCTCTTGGAAAATAGCTGTGGATTTGAAGAGGGAATGACAAGGCAGATAATAGGGCTGGGATGGGTTTCTGATGAAGTCAAGCATGACTACTCTTGGTGGTTTTGTCCAAGTTTTGAATATTACATTTTATCTTTCTCCCTACAGAGTGGAGGGACTGATGGACTCATTCTCTCAGGGATTTGAAAGGTCTTACACTGTCAATAGCAGCATCTTACATGGTATTGAACCACGGCTAAAGGATTTTCACCAGCTTCTACTCAATCCCCCTAAGGTAAAGCACCTCAGACCTTCCTATGTTCACAGTAGCTGACAACATGCACGTCAGAGGTTTTCTTTCCTCTCTGTGTAGGATCATTTACCTCCTGGATATTTTCAGTTTTGCTCACCTAAAAGCATCGTGTACTAAAAAAACCCAAATCCTACAATAAATTAACTTAAATCCTCAAAGAGAAATTCAGAGTTCAGTTTTAGACTTTAGATGTCTAGGTACCAAGTGGTGGGATTTGGCGGCTGAGTTGCTGTATTTGAGTAACATTCAGGATATTAAGGCAGATGTAAAGGTAGCCATCTTACAGCAAAAAAATTTCAGGACCAGACTCCAAAGAGAAACTGCTGAGCTCCAGTTCATTTGCAAATTTGACACCATCAGATCAGGTTTAAACAAAGACAGTGAATGGCTATCCAACTACAGAAGCAGTTTCTCCTCCCTTGGTGTTCACACCTCAACTGCTAGCAGAGCACCTCACCCTCCCTGATTGAACTAACTTCATTATCTCCACACTGATTTATACCTGCCTCTGGAGATTTCCATTACTTGCATCTGAAGAAGTGAGGTTCTTACCCACGAAAGCTTATGCTCCCAATACTTCTGTTAGTCTCAAAGGTGCCACAGGACCCTCTGTTGCCTTTTACAGATTCAGACTAACACGGCTACCCCTCTGATTCAGGATATTGTTTTATTGTAACTAGGGTTTTGGAGAGTGTGTGGGGAAAGGAAGCATTTCCAAATATAGCCTGTTGGAATTCACAAATGTTCTGATTGGCATGCAAGTCTGCTATTAATCCCAGGGGATAGTCAGATTATCAATAGGTGTCTCTGTCTCCTATAGGGCAGGACTTCTGTCCTGTCACGAGCCCATTGTAATAAAGATTTGTATTTACTCATTGGTGGTTGTAGCTTTCTGAAATTTGATATAGAAAATACTATCTGAATATTGTTAGTTTTGATTCAGAAGTTCTTTAATTTCACTTACTGTATTGTCCCTAAACATGACTCAATGGGTAGAAGGAAAGGCTGACTTAGGCATCAAACAGTTTCCTTAGCCGAGGAGGTTTATATGAAGCCGACTGAATGTAAAATCAGACTGATTAGAGTAATGACATTTTGACCTATGTAGAGATGGATTCAAAATCTGGTTCCTTTTTCTGTTTGTGGTAGAAAATGTCAATCCTGACTACAATTGGTGTCTTGGAGGAGCCATTGGGGAATGCTCGTCTTCATGGAGCTCGACTAATAGCTGCTCTGCTTCACACAAACACTCCCAGTATTAACTATGAACTATGCAGACTCAATACCATGGATTTATTACTTGTGAGTAATACAGTGTGACATATTGTGGAAGAATATGCTGTTTAAAGAGAGAACATTATCTGTGATCTGTACAGTACAAAGACAGATACACTGTATCTGATGTATGCCTGTTTGAGTGTGTAATTAATTGCTTAATCTCCTGAAAGTAGGAATACCTATTCTCAAACTAGTCTTTATAACATAAT